GGTTTTTCAAAATGAAAAATTAAAATAATTGATTTCAGAAGATGAAAAATTGTCTGAAGGATTATTAGGAGAAAAGCCAACATCTATTTTTTCATCAGATGCTTTCAACTGTCATTGTCTTACCAAACTTTCAAAGGAAGATTACTGACTTCATAATTGCTACATTTGATAAATTTATTACAGTATTTAATAGTGAATTTTCGTGCAGACCAGCACCGGTCTGCAGACCACGGGTTGGGGAACACTTAATTGACACAAAATCTGAAGAACAATCATTCTGTTTAAATATAAACGGGTTCTAGACCAAACACATTAATCGATTTCCTGTCAAGTATGCCATCTTGAAGTTAGTTCAGAGTCTTCAGACTCAAGACAGAAGCAACAAAACTCAAAAGCAAAGTTGGCAGATTCATGAAAAGTATGGCACGTCATACATTTTACCGCTTTTGCGTATTATCCAATTATATACCTTGATATAGTTTTACCAAGAATTGGAGAGAAAGCGGAAATGCTCTTGAAACTTCTAACTACTCCTCACCACCTCTTCTGGGAATTATTTTTAATTATTCTATGAATTTTCTCGCTTAACCCTTGGGCAGCAGAGGGTTCCTGCAGCAAAGTTGGGATTTTTTTGAGGGAAGTGCATTTTAGTTTTACCAAAGATAAATGAAATGTCCCCAGGTTGCCCAGGTCCAAGTCAGGAAAAATCTGGGTGCAGGAATTCCCATTGTCTCAAGAAATCACACATGTTGATCCTATGCAGGGAATGCATGAAAAAACCCCACTGCCCAGTGAGGAATTTTTTTTTAGGCAAAATTTTCTGCTGGATTAAAAAAAAAATATTGGTCTTTTTCCAAAGTTATGCCTTGGTTCAAAAATCAGATTTTTTATATTTGCAAATCTCACGGGAATGGAATTTGGCAAAAATATCCCAACTTTGCCACGCAAGGGTTAACAAGCTGTTCAATTCTCGAAATAGATTAAAAATGGCTTCATAACCAGACTCAACATTAATTGTCGGAAAATCAAAGGGGGCAATATTTGAACAATGTTTGGTTTGATTAATCCAAAATTCCATTCAGCAGCATTTCATTGAAAATTACACTCTCTATTCAGTACAAATAGCAATAGAAAAAAGACCGTGGTCTTGTCCGGAGATGAATGCATTGTTTGATTAAATAAAATTGATTCTCTGCCCTCGTCTGAAACAGGCTGTCTTGGCTGATTTGTCATCAATCAAGATCGTTCCTCTGCTTCGACTCGTCTTTGAACAGTGCTGCGACAGGGATGTTCAGAAGAACAAGTCGTCCGACCCGGTGGATGTTTAAAAATTCATGAAAGTCCAAGCTTCATAATAAAAAAAAAACTGGGTCGCCGGTGAAAGATTTCTTCCAATACATTCGTTAATTAATGTAGACCCAGGTCAAGGAATAAATGTCAACAGGAGATCGCCAGATATTGGAAGAGAATGGTTTCGATACATTTCATTTGATTTATCCCGGAAGGAGCACCATCTTCTGTAGGGGAAAAATCGTCAAAAATCATCTCACGCGTGAGAAAAAAAGGGGATGAATCGTAAGAAGAAATTTTGTACGCTAGGGGAGTTTATAAATTTTGTACAGTACAGTACTTCTGGCCTGGATCTGCGATGTGATCACTTCACGTCCTTATAAATATGCTTCATGTCCAATACAGTATATAAAATTCATTTAGATTTCCTCGAAACGTATCAAAGGGAAAGCAATACGGATAAATAATTTTTTGATGAGTTTTTGATGGAAAGGGTTTCGGGATAATGTTATAAATTTAAAATGCGTTTAAAAACTTTTGAATGCGTGTATATTTCATTTTATTGGTGATATTATTTCGTAGTGCCTTTTTGATTAACACCGTTCACTCCTTAAATGCACTGAAAATTCTTCCCGAAAGAAATGATTTTCAATGCTTGTTGAATTTTTTTTTTTCATTCGTCGAAGCTCCAACATTTCCGTGCGAATGAATAAAATGTTTCAAAATGAATTTCTCGCCGAGAAAATACAAAAAATCGAAAGTTTAATGTGAAACTTTCGGCAGAGATCATTAGAGCAAATCTCATGCCCCTTTTTTGTCAATTGCATCAACCATTGACGAAATCTCCTTTTTCAAATATTCCATGAATTCTTTCAATTCTTCTCGACTAGAGAACGATCCTTTCCTGCCGACGAGAGAAATCCTGAGGTCCCCAGCATAACTCCCCACAACAACACCCAGGTCTGGAAAATAAGAAAGGATCCATGCTGAACTTAATAAGAAGCATTTCTTGGCATACATGAAAGTGTTGGTCAACAAATAATTCGATTACAAGTCGGCAGTTCGGTAAATTATTGTAAGCTGACACGTGACTGCCTGATTTCGTGCTCAGCTTTTGTAAAATGTGTGCAATTTTTGGAAACCACGCGTGACCGCATAGTATTTTTGTTTGTTGAGAAAGTCACATTCGTAATTTTTTTTCAGATTGAATGAGGTAGAAACTATTGAAGTTGAAGTTACGCTATCATTGAAAAGCAATAAATTTCATTGGTTGAGACTTGAAAGGAATTTGCCTGCGCCCACACTTTTTTCCTCAGTAAAAAAAAACTTAGAAATAAAAGCTAAGTTTTTACGTTTTAAACTTTTTAATTTTATTCGAGTGGGATATTCGTCCAGTGATCCCCATAAGGAAGTAAGCGAGTCAGTCAAATGCTTTGAAAAAATTCCGTTCTTCTCCGCATTAAAAGATGATCGATTTTTTGAGATACATTTCGAGATGGCATTCATTAAAGTCATTTGGTTTTTCTGTTCTTGGGATTTTCCAAGAATCGTCTTCTTCTATTTTTATGACATGATTAACAACATTTTACCTAGATCTTCCCACATGGTGGCATGTGCAGTCATCTGCACAATATTCTTCCCGAAGCACTTGAGGTGTGACGTGGGTCCGGCTACGTTCGTAATGATCCCAGTAACGCCATCTATCGGCCACGGAAGCGAATCCGTGATCGCCGTTGGAACAGAGTTCAGAAAAGTGCTCTGGAATGGCGCCAAGGACCAGGCATACAAATCCCGCAAAGGTACCTCCATAATCTGCCTCATTCTACTCAAAGATTCCAACGGATCCGAGTGACAAACGTCAGCACCGACACATGCATTGGCAGCACCGGCGACTCGGTTCCGCAGTTCGAGTTTATCACCGGGAATCCAAAGGCCCTGAGGCATCGTCAACGTGAATTGCCAGTCTTTGGCTTCTTTTTCTAAATCTTGGTCGGATGAATGCGTCTCTCGCTTTGCAATCTCTTTTGAATACTTTAATAGCGTTCGGAAGACGCAAGCGAACAAAATCGTGTTGATTTTTGCTCCAGTATGCTTCCGGATTCTTTTGAAATTGTCCAAAGAAAAGCTCTGTGACGACAAAAATAACCTGAAAAGCAAGCAAGAAGATGGGGGTCAAAGATTACCACATTTCCTAGGATCAAGACGCGTGTTTTTTTTCAAGAACTTGGCTTTAAAATCAGGGTGGGTTTCATCGTAATCCACGAGATGCGTATTCAATTTGATGGATTCTAATATACTTGCTGGTGGAAATTTTAGTATGAATATTTCCGACCAACTCAGTCCCTTGAATTCGATTTGGAAACGCATTGAAGCCTTTTTTTTAGTTCAATAACATTTAAATACTGCGTTCCTCTTTCGTGAGTTTTTCAGGATAGAAAGCTGGCATAATATGGCAACATGCATAAAGTCGACTGATTTTATATTCTGGAGAGAAAAAAATATATTTGGCGTTTAATGCATCAAGTAATTATGAATACAAAGCGAGGCAAATGTGAGTTTTGGGTCGTAACTAAGTGATTTGGGAAAAAGTATCGATTAATGCATGGAATCGCGAAATTTTTACTATAAAAAAAGCTCGTGAATATGAATATATAAAGCTCGGCTTGGAAAAAACTCCAAAATGTCTGGTTCAAATACTTTTTTAAATCATTGTTCAAGTATTCCCTCATTTACTCATATATATGATACGCTGCATAGATTTGAAGGGGGAAGCAGTGATTTCGCAGATCGGAACCATGAACACTTTTTGGAGAATCTAAAAATGTTCTGAATCACTTTCAACTCATATCATAGCACCAGAACTCTGTTGGACACAGGAAGTTTTTTTTAAACCGATTTTGTCAATGAAAGTAGATTTATAAACACGTTTGAAGTCAAAAAGCTGATAACATGAACTTCACTCTCAGTTACTTCACAACCTCTTCAACAATATTACGAGAAAAATATTGCGCTGGAAAGAAAAGCATCATCCGAGGAAGATGCTTCCTCGTATTTTACAGTAATTGAATTTTATATTATTTTTTCATAAATTGTTTTGACCCGGCCGGCATCAGATTCTTCCTCACATTGACAAAAACATTGTCAGTGACTTAAGGAGATGTAAAACTCTCGAAGTATCATAAATTTTTGCAACAACAGCATTTGTAAATATTGATGTATTCCACTTCAAAGAGCACCCTGACAGAAATGATATGTCATTTTTTTGAGTGTGTGATGCAGCTAAAAGTAATAACAACTTGTAGCGGGAACTTAGTACAGTAAAAGGAAACAAATACAGTAATATTTTTTTGAACAAAATTCCTAATTTCAAATTTTTTTAAATTTTAATATAACAGGTGCATATCAATTCACGAACACATATTGACAGACTGATTGAGAGTTCCTCTTCTTCATTAAATAAATACAGTCGATGAGCCTCGTTACAACGAATCTCATTTTAACGAATAATCACTTACAATAAAGTCGGTTTTGAGTCTCTGCCCAATAAAAACAATATGTTGAATGAGTTTCTGCGTACCAAATTTTTCTTTACTAAAAAGCTAGTTTACTGGTGCTAATGGCTTCGCTGTAAAAAAAAAGCACTGTATACAGTATACTGTATGTACATAAATATACTGTATATATAGAAGAACAAAATATTTACTGAAGAAAAGCTTTCAATCAGTCTCTGCATGCGTGTGTTTTTACAGAGGCGTCACTTCTAAAATCAATTTCTTATGATTCATGTTACTTTTTTTATTTTTTATTCGTTGATAAAAGCAACACAAAGACACAATGCAGCATCTGGCAGAGCTCAAGAATTCTGGGAAAGGAAATATGGTCTCCTAAAAAACGTGCTCATTGATTTTTCCCAGCTTACTTTCTGTGAATTGATTAATGGGATATCCCCCAATTCTCATTGCTCCAATATTCGTTCAAGTATAAGTATGGTATCTTACCTCCCTCTGCGTTTTCCTGGTCTGTTATGCAAAGGACTCTGGTCATGGAAATGAGGTCCAGGAAAGTACGCCCTCCAAAGCGCCAGAGGCGTGACGAACGAAGCTTGAACCAGCAAGCAAGTCCTTGTGAAACTCGAAACGGGTTTCAAATTCTTGAAGAGAGTCGCTGGATTGTTTTCGTCATTGCGATCAAGGAATGCAGGCAAAACCGTCATGGACATGGCACCACCATCGACTAACATGTGATCAATATGCAGCAAGATGCTCGTATGCTTCTCTAAATTTGCATCTCCAACTTGTTCGACGTGAAAAACATACACGTGCCACAACGGCATGTTTGGGTTGCCCGGGTGGATTTCAGTGTTGCCGATGGTCTCCAGAATGCCCTCCAGGTCTTCGTGAGAGCGACAGACCACAATGTCTTGATTTTCATCGCGGATATAAGAGAAATGTTGATTTGCATCGAATTCAGGGTATACTTGCGTAGCCAGAAAGCCACCATACCAAAAGTAACTTGATGTGAGCTTAGGGTGCAAAATTTTGCCGTTATCGTCACGGATTTCTATCAAGTTATCTTGCATTCGTTTCTTCACGTCTTCGAGTGCAACAACTCCATCTAGTTGCAAGTAGAGTAATAAAAGGCTGTCAGTTGTTCGCATGGGCTTCAAGATTGTGCTGCAGTCGTGACCGGGAACGAGATCAGCAGTCCAACCGAATCTCAACTTGATGATGATTTTCATAATGCATTTAATTGTGATGGGAATTAGCATAAGAGGCATTATCATCATGGAAACAACTCCAGATAAACACAGTTTAACAATGAGGCCCGGTGCTATTTTCCCGGCCATTTTCGAAATTCTGAAATCTGTTCGCAGCGACACAAAATATGAAGGAAATTGACACACATACGTAAAAGCACGTGGAGAAAATTAGCATTGGAAATATTCAGAAAAAAACTAATTATTTTAGGGAAGCAAACGAATTTCATATTACCATACAGTACAGTATTTACTCGTTAAGTCAGAATGCTAAACATATTTTATATTGAAAGGCGCGCACATCCTACCCTAAAAGAACCAGAATTAAAAAAAAATTAGCTGGCGGATTCAAAGTTTGTGTCACAATCAGCAACAGACTCACGTCTATTTTCGTTGGGGCCAAAATAGAAAAAAACAATTTAATATTGGCCATGTACCGTTGAGAAACTACTTCTACCTGGATGATTTCTGCTTTGTTTTACGATTGAATCAAATTCTGACTAAAGGGTAATTTTTAATGTAATCTACTCACAAAAAAAGTTTGCCAAAGCGTTCTGAGGTGTATGCATTCATTTTTCCCATTTTCTGAATTTTGAACATGATGTGCTTGGAATCCGACATCTTCAATGACAAGAATATCTTTGAGTTTATGGTATACAGGTATAAGAATATAACTCATGGGGATTTCAAGTACTGTATCTTGACAATTTCATTAGGACTAATTTTTCACTGATAATCTTCAGAAGTGAAAAATATTTCATGAGGTAAAAATGAAAAATCAATCATTAAAGCAAGTGCAGCACTTCACGAACGATAATTTCAAGTACGAATCTCAAACTCAATCACCATAAATGATAAGAACACTCTTCGATTGTAGGCAACTATAGGCACATACATTAAGACTGATTCTTCACATTCACTTCTATGATGCGCGTTTATGCGGTTATAAGCTTATAACGGACGCGTCGCGATGTTCCGAAGTGAATTCCAAGAGCAGGCTTCCGCTTTACACTTGGCTCGTTGTAGCAGTTTTGAATGCTCCCCGAGAACAACAATGACGACAAAAAAAATCTCACAACATAGCTCTTCAGTCTTCACACACACGCAGTACTCATTTTACAGCGAGACCGAGATGCGGCTTGTTATTGTTCACAGACGATGTGTTGTTCAGATAATGCGTGTGCCGCGCTTAAACTCTCAGAGGTCGTTCATATTCGTAGATAACGATAACCGAACCTCGAACGCGAATAAGGCATAGTGACTTGATGCTGTTGCCTGAAGCCACGGGAAAGATGGATGACACAGCAGTTAAAAACAAATATTTTATTTATCTTGACCTTGGAGGTCGACTGGTATGAATACAGTGCAGGTAAAATACAGTAACCAAGATCTATATCCCATCCCTACCTGACGACCACTGCGTGAACATGGCCTCTGTAACGCTGCGTATAATTGCCAGAAAACTGCTTTCGTATGTCTTAATAGATGTCACAGCCTACCTCAATAATTCAGATATCAGCTAACCGGTTTATGGATTGCAAGCGCGTATTCAGTGCAATGAGTTACTGGAAAAGTCTAAATCAAATGTCGTGCAACCGCAATGAATAAAATGACCTTCCTTCGCATTAAGCATTCTAGTAGAAACATTTCTTATGAAAAACAGTTTTTATGCGATTTCTCACAGTTCAAATTCAACCTCGTCTCGAAATGTACATCGCATGGATTAAATATAAGTAACGGTTCCTGCAATAGCAACGGACGAAGATGTGATACGCTCACGGTCAGGGTTCATCGGAGTACTGAAGAGTTACGAAAGATTTAGTCCGAAACCCGTGCTAAGAATAATGAAAAAAAGCACGAATTTTAAACTTTCCAAGAGATTTCAAGCTCCCAGCAGAAATAAGAAGAAAAAAAAACCTACGGACAAACTGGACGATTCTGAAGCAAAGAAAACATTTTTGAGTCATTATTGCAGAACCATCAAAAAGTAATGAAGCAGGCATGCAAGATGGGAATTCCTTCACTGATTTGTTCGAGCTAAAATGCAAAGTTTTGCTTAAAACAACCGGAATTGCATTCCATCAAAACTGCAGTGCAGCTTTTGTGCAACGGGCCAACATTAGGATGAATATTTCTCTACTTCGAAAATTCGATCCTATTTTCCTCTTGTTGCTTCGTTGGAAAAGCAAATTTCTGTCAAAAGCAAAGTTCATATAGATAAAACTACTGTACTTGTATTGCAAAAGACTTTCAGAGGCACGAAAACAGAAAATGTACTTTTTATGACTATTCTGATATGCATTCAATAATTCATGCAAGGTGCAGGACGTCGTTGTTGTTGCTTTGTGGCAAGATGTCTACGATTTTTATTTTCAAATGATTTGATTTTCTGGACTGCTGCTGCCAGTTCCTGAAAATCTTATCGAAATAATATACGTACGCCTTGTTTTTGCTTTTGTTTTCTTGCTTGACGATTCGGGGGATCATTAAGAATTTAAAATCTAAATCGAAATATAATCCATCCGCTATGATTCGTTATTAATTATCATCCGACATTACTGACAATCATGAGAATGTCAAAACCAATTTTTGGCTTGAGGAAGATTTATTGTTCGTTTTGCTTCATCAACTCCGTACTTTATCATTCAAACGACCAGAGTTTTCGGAGATAATTTCTCAATAGAAGTCATTTTTAAGGTCTCGACAATTGTCTAACCCTCATATTTTTTTGAAACTGTAAGCGACATTAAAATACGATGCTCTAAATTAGATATTTGACGCGACTGTACGAAGCAGAATTGGAACGGGTCGAAGAAAAAAGCGAAGTTGACCTCATCTGAAGAAATACAGTGCGTTCAATCTAGAATGCATACCTTTCTATGGGAATGATATCAAAGTTCACTGTAAATAATGCCAAAATGGATTTTTTAAATTTTAATTGATTATTTCGAATTCAGATTGAATTCATCTCTGAATGTTGAAACAACAGCGTTCCACATTTATCTATTATCTTGATTTTTGATAATCTTGACACAGTTCTGTTGCATCAGAGAAATAATAAAAATAAATATGCCTCAACTCTTGAGGTTATAAATTCATTGCTCTCATTGAACAACTAAATTTTTTTCACAAAATACACGATGAATTCATAAACAACACAGGAGCAAAATGTATTATACAACACCAAGTTCATGTGATTCCTGACACTCTTCTTCTCTGCAATTTTCTTGGAGGTCATCCAATTCTTGTTCAAAATATACCAAGAATTTCTCCAGGTCTTGACGATTACGAAATGACGCTTTGCTTCCTTCCACTGTCACAAATGCCTTGCCGCCGCTTGTGATTTCCGAAATCGCAATGTCTACATACATAGGCATGAATATGATGATCAGACATAACAATTGACATAATATAACAAGACATTACTCCAATGTTTCGGTTTTTCATGAAGGGAAATCAAAGTCAAACCTGTCTAAGTTGAATTTCTAGGGACCATAAAGGAAAACAAGTTGAGGGAGGTTTTGACTTAGGGAGGTCTCGATTTTTGGAAGTTCTGAGTTGAGGAAACAACATTTTGGTTGCAAGAAAAAGGAAAAAAAAAATTGCGGAAAATTTTAAATGAGGATATTCTGGGCCTAAACTTGCTTCTTAATGAGTTTACAGCTTGCTGAACTTGCTGGAGGCAGGGGTTCATTTGCTTAATTAGCATTTCACTTCCTTTTAATATGCATCAAATAATTTGTTTTATTAATTTTCTCTCTCATATATCAAGGAGATAATAACCAAATGGCCCCAGAAAAGTTGACATACAGAGGTTTAAGGGAAAAAGACTTTGAGTTATTAGGGAGGTTTTTAATGCATTGTTTTAAGAGAATCCAGACAGGGACTTGAAAAAAATTTGAATCTGGGAGGTCATATTTGACTGGAGGTTTGACTAATCAAAGTTCAACTGTTTTACGAAAAATTCAAATTTCTGGTTCAGTAATAGTAAAATACTGGAAAGACAACTGATCGAACCTTTCAACTGCCAAAATGGACTTACATTTTCGCATATCTCTAATTGTAGAAGATCAGTAAAACTTATGGTCATATTATTGCATAAAATCATCAAACATCAAAATTTATTTGAATAACTTTGGATCAACTGTTTTTCTCCGAAAACTTTCACGGGGCTATGAATTATCGGAAAAGTTGTTCGTGTTCGTAAAAGACGTAAAAACAATATCATTCGTTTATTTTATGGAAACAGCTTCCGATAAAAAAGGCTATACGAGTGATTCACTGACCAGTTGAATGAATAAACATTTCTGTCCACATACAG